CATGTGGTGTGTCCACAGCATCATCAGTATGAGATGACCCGCAGTCACATCTTAACAGTACAATAGTAGAATCTGTACCACTAATCCATAGGTGTATGGGGGAGGCAGTTATCCGGGAGGTTGGAAAAAGAGGAATCAGACACAAGTGTATTTCTTTTGTGCTTAATGTTTTGTTTACATAAACTACAGTAAGTCCTCACTTAACGTCGTCTATAGGTTCTTGGAAACTGCGACTTAAGCGAAACAACGTGTAATGAGGCCAGTTTTACCTCAGGCTAATTGATATAAACATCAAGGGTGCACAGTGCACCTTTAGCACTCATTGTAACATGGTTAAACCAAGGGATAAATGCTTGCGAAGCAAAAATTGTAATGAGCGCCACCTACCACCAGGCGGTTCAACAACGAACCTGCAAACTCCACACAGCAGCCCCGGCCGGGAATAGATATTTTTTCATCAACGTTATAACGAAACGACGTTGAACGAAGCGACATTAAGTGAGGACTTACTGTGCACTACTTGTACTGCATAAAGATTTCTAGACACGCTTTCCATTAGAGGAAAGGGAGGCGCCTTGGTAAGGTGAATTGTCATATTCTTGGGGAACCGCTAAAATCTAAGGGATCATACAGGTTCTGGAGAAAGGACGGCAATCAGGTATGATCCAGAGAAGGGGAAGGGTGAATTTAATTCCACGGATCAAGAGCCATTCAACGGCATCAAGGCACTTTCATTGAAGGGTTATGCTGTTGAAGTGTTCATTATTTTTAGGAATCGGAGGTCCCTTCCCCTTCCTCGGATGAAACCTGGTTATCACCCCGTTCCTCTTAGGTTTCCCAAGCTATGTACGAGCCTGGCGGGTTCAGAACATCTTTATGAATACAGTAGTAATAATAGAGATCTTGTGTGTCCACGAGTCTCTCACTGTTAATGGTGGAATCACAGCCAATGTTGTCAGCGAGTAAGCACACCAACAGTATACATGAGAAAGTCATATGGCAAATGAGCTGACTGCTTTGTTACAAGCGTTACTCTGTAGTACACAGGTGTAACAGTCTCGTAGTAGCAGCCTGAAGCAAATGTAGTCACAATCCTGGGTGACGGATTCAAAGAGGAACAAATTCTTTTATCTCTGGTTCAAAACGATTCAATAAATTACTTTTTTATTAAGAGTTTCTGAGAGGTATAAGATATATTAATTAATGTTAGTTTTCGTAGTCAAGGAGCAATGTCATCAAGAGGTCAACATAAAAATAACTTTACGCCATTTCATACGTGTGGGTTTGTTCCTCCTTGCACCCGACACAGACAATCCGTAAATACAGTATATTGCCACGACTGACACTCTGGTGTGGTGGCCTCGGCCTCCTCCTGCGGGTTGTTACACATGGGCGCCGGCTTGTGGTCTTCCTCCTGCTGATGCTGCTCCAGGCTGTCCTCCACGGCATCCCCCGCTAAGGGCATTGACAATGTTGGTCACTCGTACCTTCATTGTAGGATGGTAAGGGGTCCTTATGGGAACCATTTTAAATATCTTCCCAGATGAACTCGATTCAAGTCGTAATGAACGACTGTAAATGAATAAATAGAAAGGTGGACGGGGGCTCGAACAGTAGTACCGAGATTAACAGGTCCGACGCTTTACCGTTACCTAACTTCAGTGGTAAAGCGTTGGACCTGCTAATACCATTTAACCTAACTGAATAGTTATACGCTTGCCTGTGGTCACAGGCGTCTGGGGATTACTTCTGAAGTGAATATCTAAGGAAAACGGTATAATTATAAGAACATAAGAAAGAACGAGCACTGAAGCAGGCCTACTGACCCATGCGAGGCACGTCCAAGTTACCTACCGGCCTAAGCCACTGGCCACGGTCTGATGCCCCCGTCCATTTTTCTTGTTTATTCATCTTCCCAAATCTATAAAGGGAAGTGTCACACATACCATTTTGTTGTAGACGCTCTCCCAGAAGCTCCACACAGTGCGCGAAAGGTAATTGTTCAGTTAGTTCTGGTCATTAGTGAAGCTCGCTCCAAGTGAATAACAAAAAAAGGCACAATACCGTGACTGGAACGATACACAAATAACCCGCACATAAAAGAGAGAAGCTTACGACGACGTTTCGGTCCGACTTGGACCATTTACAAAGTCATCGTAAGCTTCTCTCTTTTATGTGCGAGTTATTTGTGTATCGCTCCAAGTGATGTAACATCAGCCAGTAGAAATGTTTTTAAATAAGGACGACATGAGGATGTTGCGTCATGATAAACATGTCACTTGTCGTGTGTCATAGTCATCCCTTGAAATGGGGTCGGTATAGTAGTCGCCAAGATGTGAGTTTGTGTGAATTTCGATAATGCACTAATATGGGGAGAAAAAATCTTGTGGTCAAAATAATATACTGAAATTAAAAGAGATGGCGATTGCAACTCAGTTTTATTAAATGGTGAAAAAAAGGTAATTTTCTTATTGATCACTGACAGCTAGAGGAAAGTGACGGTCATCAGATGAAAGTGACGGTCATCAGAGGAAAGTGACGGTCATCAGAGGAAAGTGACGGTCATCAGATGAAAGTGACGGTCATCAGAGGAAAGTGACGGTCATCAGAGGAAAGTGACGGTCATCAGAGGAAAGCGACGGTCATCAGAGGAAAGTGACGGTCATCAGATGAAAGTGACGGTCATCAGAGGAAAGTGACGGTCATCAGAGGAAAGTGACGGTCATCAGAGGAAAGTGACGGTCATCAGATGAAAGTGACGGTCATCAGAGGAAAGTAACGGTCATCAGAGGAAAGTGACGGTCATCAGAGGAAAGCGACGGTCATCAGAGGAAAGTGACGGTCATCAGATGAAAGTGACGGTCATCAGATGAAAGTGACGGTCATCAGAGGAAAGTGACGGTCATCAGAGGAAAGTGACGGTCATCAGAGGAAAGTGACGGTCATCAGAGGAAAGTGACGGTCATCAGAGGAAAGTGACGGTCATCAGAGGAAAGTGACGGTCATCAGAGGAAAGCGACGGTCATCAGAGGAAAGTGACGGTCATCAGAGGAAAGTGACGGTCATCAGAGGAAAGTGACGGTCATCAGAGGAAAGTGACGGTCATCAGAGGAAAGTGACGGTCATCAGATGAAAGTGACGGTCATCAGATGAAAGTGACGGTCATCAGAGGAAAGTGACGGTCATCAGAGGAAAGTGACGGTCATCAGAGGAAAGTGACGGTCATCAGATGAAAGTGACGGTCATCAGAGGAAAGTGACGGTCATCAGATGAAAGTGACGGTCATCAGAGGAAAGTGACGGTCATCAGAGGAAAGTGACGGTCATCAGAGGAAAGTGACGGTCATCAGAGGAAAGCGACGGTCATCAGAGGAAAGCGACGGTCATCAGAGGAAAGTGACGGTCATCAGAGGAAAGTGACGGTCATCAGAGGAAAGTGACGATCATCGGAGGAAAGTGACGGTCATCAGAGGAAAGTGACGGTCATCAGAGGAAAGTGACGGTCATCAGAGGAAAGTGACGATCATCGGAGGAAAGTGACGGTCATCAGAGGAAAGTGACGGTCATCAGAGGAAAGTGATAACAAGAGATTAATAAAGGTTGCCATTAATTATCAATATTAACCGGAAGTTAATACAGAGGTTAAGAAGAGACCAGATCTGGAGTCAAAACAAAAACAGTGTCCAGGTATACAATTAAAATATTATTATTTTCAACTAATATTATAGGAAGTGTTAAATATTATGTACGCATGCAAAAAAAAATCAGAGTTGGTATTAGGGAATTAAAAAATTTTATGGGAAATTTGGTCTTAATGGAAGAAATTCTTGAAGGTGAAAATTGCTAATGTTTTACACAGCACTAAGTGTCATCAAGGGTCTTAATAAGTGTCTGTGACTTGCTGGTTCTTGGGCTTAGACCAGTCCAGCACTGGTAAGTCAGCGGTTCTCAAACTGGGCACCATGAACCCAATGGGTCTATGGTACTCTTGAAACCTTACCATGGAACCCAATGGGTCCATGGCAAGATTTTACGGATCCATGGCGAGCTAAATAAAATAGAAAATTTGCGAGACAATCTTAGAATTTAAAAATACATAAATGACAAGGCACTGAAATTAAACGCGAAAATGCCTAACCTCGGTTTAGAGAAAATTAGCTACAGTTTTTTTATTCTTATTTGACGAGAGCTTTTGTATAAATAAATGATTTATGGTGATGTTAAGAATGCCTCAAGAAAGGGGTGGAGTTAAACAGTTGAGAACCAGTTCCTGAACCACAATATCATGCTGTTCCCACCCTGTAAGACTGTCTCCACTGGAAGTACCAGTCAATGAAATTAATAGTCGAAGTTATTACCAGTCAATGAAGTTAATAGTCCAAGTTGTTACCAGTCACTGAATTTACCTTCCAGTGAAGTTACCACTCTATGTAGTGATTCGATAAAGTAACAAGTCCACATAGTAACTAATTCATGCCGTTACTAGACCGCATTGTTGCCAGTCCACATAATTACCAGACCACGTAGTTACTATTCCTTGTAGTTGCCAATGCATTTGACATTAGATTATAATTGTTAGTAGGGAGGAACACAATCGTCCGTTAAGAGAAAAGCAACACACTACGAAACAAATACATAAGAGACCTTGTTTTTTAATTTTTCGAATCGTAATTTATCGGTGACAGAAGAGAATGAGGAGCAACGAAAAAGAGAGAAAATAAAATACCGACACAATGTAAATATAAACACTTAAGTAGTAAAATGCGATCCTTTATTGACAACGTTTCGCCCACTCAGTGGACTTTATCAAGTCACAAACAGATCTGTTTATGACTTGATAAAGTCCACTGTGTGGGCGAAACGTTGTCAATAAAGTATCACGTTTTACTGCTTAAGTGTTTGTTTACAAAAAAAAAAAAAAAAAAAAAACAGAAAGGGGGGGGAGTGAGAGAGAGAGAGAGAGAGAGAGAGAGAGAGAGAGAGAGAGAGTAGTCTTCCAACAAAAAGAATAGTCTTCCAGTTCCAGGTGTGCCTTCTTTTCCTCCCAACACCTGCCCCCATCCCCTCAACAAAGGCCAACTTACCCGTAAGATCGTGACCGGTGGGGTGACCTTCACCTTCACCATCCTGGCCAGGTACTCCATCGGCGTCAGAAGTACCGCCTGCAACGCTGCCTACACCGTCAGGCATCATTGATTGCTGTAAATAGAGCAGAGGCTGACTAATGTTAGAAGAAACTGAACTCAGGAAGAGGCGAGGACACTCAGTAGTAATAGAGAGGAAAGACACTGCGTCTGTAGTGAAATTTTCATTTCGCTTCTTCCAGGACCGAACTTTGTCAAGTATACAAAAACATACAGATACACTGCCTCATAAGGCAAACTAGTGGTAGTGCTGGGTTCAACTGAAAGAACCGGGATACAGTGCCGGTGTGGCGAGGCACAAGAGCAAGTCTCCTAGCACTTGCTAGCTCTGTCACCTATCAATTAGAAACCAAGCCTTTAGTCAGTTGTTGCGGGTTGCATCCTAGAGAAAAACCTATAAAACCCATTTAAAATAAACCACACTATTTGGCTTTTTCTGGTTACCCTGTGTCACTGACTCTCCAATTAATCTATTTTCGACTGCTTCATTTAGACTTTGTCTGAGTTAAGGAAGATGATAGAAAGTATTAAGTGATATGGGGATACAAATCTGTGTTTGTGTTGGCGCTTAGATGACTAGACAAATAAAGCAAAATCGAGGTACCAGATTGCTGCTGTCAGCTGCCCGCAGGCCTAGCCATCACAGTAAGACTGATCTGGCATTTGCTAGAGGCAATTGTCGAGTTTCCTTTGAAAAATTATTAATTGAAGCATCTACTGCATAGAAGTCACAAAAGTACTCAAATATTTGATGTCAGTAATATAACCAGGTATTTTACCAGAAAACTGACTTAGACGAAAACAGTTATACATTGGTATTAAAACTGCTTATTACCTGGAGTTTACCTGGAGAGAGTTCCGGGGGTCAATGCCCCCGCGGCCCGGTCTGTGACCAGGCCTCCTGGTGGATCAGAGCCTGATCAACCAGGCTGTTGCTGCTGGCTGCACGCAAACCAACGTACGAGCCACAGCCCGGCTGATCAGGAACTGACTTTAGGTGCTTGTCCAGTGCCAGCTTGAAGACTGCCAGGGGTCTGTTGGTAATCCCCCTTATGTGTGCTGGGAGGCAGTTGAACAGTCTCGGGCCCCTGACACTTATTGTATGGTCTCTTAACCTGCTAGTGACACCCCTGCTTTTCATTGGGGGGATGGTGCATCGTCTGCCAAGTCTTTTGCTTTCGTAGTGAGTGATTTTCGTGTGCAAGTTCGGTACTAGTCCCTCTAGGATTTTCCAGGTGTATATAATCATGTATCTCTCCCGCCTGCGTTCCAGGGAATACAGGTTCAGGAACCTCAAGCGCTCCCAGTAATTGAAGTATTTTATCTCCATTATGCGCGCCTAATTGCAATATGTATTATTTTTTTGTAAAGTAAAAGGAAATGAGTTATTCTGAGGTAATTTTAAGAAAGGTTTATGTTGTAATTTCATTGTAATAGGTAATATAACAAAAAAATCGTTCTATTTTCGTCACTGGTAAAATGATGAAGTATCCAGTAGCCTGGAACACCAAAACTTTATCGTTGTAAATGATTAACTCCATCAAATTATTTTTTTCTAAATGGGATTAACGTAGCATTAATTATAAAAGTTATTTATACTTTCATGTATCAAGGTCAAAGGAAGTTAAAAAGCGTATAAGTATCGTGGTTTAATATTAAAGCATGCAAGGAAGTTTTTATGTTAAAACACGCCACGTAATTAGGTATTAATACATGCTACGTAGTTTGGTATTAGCAGAGATGCCAAGCTTAACAAAATGCCTTACATAAAAGGACTGAGGCTCTGTATATATTCTGAAGGATAAATATCCTTAAGGAATAAGAAGACACAATATCGTGGCAGGAACAATACACAAATAACCTGCACATAGGAGAGAGAAACGTTGTCATAAGTGTATTTCTCCTGTGTGTGGGTCATTTAATGTGTATACACCAAAATAAAGTGTATATACGAAGAGCAGTATATATATTAGCATATATTTGATTCCCTATTTTGAGAAATAAAGTATCCTTGCATTGTACAAGTGTCAAGCAGTCTTATCGACCCTCGATGAGACTAGTTCTTTTGATAGTCCCTGGCGACCTGCATAATGCCCAGTGTGGTGTCCACATGTGAACACAACAGTCTGCACGAAGAACATCACTAACATTGTCACTGTTTTCCATGAAGCTCCATTATGAAATATTTACAGATCAGACAACGTGAAGTTCATCCTCATTGATATGAACTTGGGATGAATCATTATCGTTTTAATTTTATACGAACACTTTACCATTGTCAAATATTTTTTATCAAACACTTAACTGGCTCACAAAAACACTGATGTGGTCCTCCATCGTTTTGTTGATAGTCGTTCATTGCGATTTATCTTGGGTTTAAGGACTAACTTTGTGGGGTATGAAAACAGATATACCCCGAAAGTTTCTGAGTTACTGTTAATGTCACTGATACAACCATCTCACAGTTGAGATGCGTGTAAAGTCATTCTAACCTCAGTGGTTGAGTGGTTACAGTGTCTGGCCTGCTATTAAATGGACCACAGTTAGAGTACCCGTCTATTCTTCTGTTTGTTTATAGTATATACCTATATATGTCATCTTTGATGACATTCAAAAATGTTAATTTGAATCATCAATTTTCTCAACGTGAAGGTTAAAAGGGCATTGAGTCAGCAAGTTTAACGTGACATTCTCCATAATTTATATGAATGTAATTTAAATCACTGTTTACTATATAAAAAAAAATCTGTTCTCTAATTTCAATATTTTGAATAAGTGACTGACCTTCCTGGAGCGTGGCATCCCGCCACCCTCAACAAGCAGGCCAGCATCCCTGGCAAAGGCTGGATCCTTTTCAATTAACGCTGCGGTGTAAGGCTGCGCCTCCCTAGTCAACAGGTTGACCAGGACCTCCAACCCGCCTTCTCTCACAAGCCGAGCACTCGTAGCCTCCAGCACCGAACACTGTGCAAAAGTAACATGCGTTAACCACTCGGCAAGCTGGCCTGTGAGTTTCAGGTCTCACTTGCCATGCGTTCAAACCCCACCCGTTCCGTGATCTGTTTATAATCTTGTAATTACGAGTTCGTGAGTCAGGTATTACTGGTGGGGATCCAGTTAGCAGCAATGCTTCAGACAGGTGTAATGCTATATTCAGTTAATACCATTAGAAAAGGAATGCTATTGTCTGCAAGCATGCTGCAATTTCCCTCCAATCTTACATTCCTACGTTTTAGTCAGTTAATACCGTGGTTATGGAATAATATGTGATGATAGAAATAGAAAGTATAAAATACAGACAAGATGAACCTTATCAAGTCACAAACAGATCGTCCTGGGTAAAGAGGACGTGAGTATATATGGGTGTTGAGTGGAGGTCCGTCTCAAATACAACCTTCCCAACATTCTGCACCTGACTCTCCGCCCTATATACTCATGTTCTCTTTATTTGATAAAGCCCGTGGTCAATAAAGGATCGCAATATAATGCATTTGTGATTATCTTTCCATGATATTATGAAAAAATGCTTATGGGTAATGAAATGAATATTGTAAAGTCGAATTTAAGTGCAAATTAGTTGGAATAATGATATTACTTAAGATCAATAATATGGATCAGGTCTTAAAAGCAAGTTACTCGCCTAGCAAGAATGTGTACTCGTCTAGGAAGAATGTTTACTCGTCTAGCAAGAATGTGTACTCCTCTAGCAAGAATGTATACTCGCCTAGCAAGAATGTGTACTCGTCTAGCAAGAATGTATACTCGTCTAGCAAGAATGTGTACTCGTCTAGGAAGAATGTGTACTCGTCTAGCAAGAATGTATACTCGCCTAGCAAGAATGTATACTCGCCTAGCAAGAATGTGTACTCGCCTAGCAAGAATGTGTACTCGCCTAGCAAGAATGTGCACTTGCCTAGCAAGAATGTGTACTCGCCTAGCAAGAATGTATACTCGCCTAGCAAGAATGTGTACTCGTCTAGCAAGAATGTGTACTCGTCTAGCAAGAATGTGTACTCGCCTAGCAAGAATGTGTACTCGCTAGCAAGATGTATACTCGCCTAGCAAGAATGTGTACTCGCCTAGCAAGAATGTGTACTCGCCTAGCAAGAATGTGTACTCGCCTAGCAAGAATGTGTACTCGCCTAGCAAGAATGTGTACTCGTCTAGCAAGAATGTATACTCGCCTAGCAAGAATGAATACTCGCCTAGCAAGAATGTGCACTTGCCTAGCAAGAATGTTTACTCACCTAGAAAGAATGTGTACTCGCCTAGCAAGAATGTTTACTCACCCTGGCGAGAGCCTTGGTGGCCAGTACTTGCAGCTGGGGTGACGGACAGTGGAGAAGCTTGACTAGGGACGATGTGTAGCCTGCAGCCTCCACCCTCTCGCGGAACACTACCTACATCACCGTGGAAATGACATCATGCAAATGTCGCTACAAGGAAAGAAGCACCATCATGGAAATTACTTTTGATTAAATAAATTCAACCCCCGAAAAATAGTTGGACAAATGCATACTTATACAGTTAATTACACGGTGAGGGTCCGGGTTGGATTCCCGGCGAGGGTTGAACGTTGGGCGTGTTTCTTTACACCGGTTGTCTATATTCACCCATCAGTATAAAATGGGTACCTGGGTGTTAGTCGACTGGTGTGGGTCGCATCCCAGGACAAAATCGACCTAATTTGCCCGAAATACTCTACATACAAGTGCCTTTCTATACAGTAGTATATCATTGATGTCAGCTAGGACTGTATACCTTGTACGTGTAGAAATAGATATTATTATTCTTGTACTGGTAATGTGTTGTTAAATTCTCGACGTTAATACGTACAAAAACTGAAGCTTTTTAACAGACAAATAATTTTCGAAGAGAAGAATCTTACCTCAGCGATGCACTGATGAATGACGCCCACTACAGGCACCAGGAGTGACGGGCGGGACGCAGAGAGCAGGCCGCCCACCAGCTCTAACCCTCCAGCCCGCAGAAGAGCAGCCCGCCCACTCTTAGACACGCTGCACGCCCACAGCGCCCGCGTGGCACCTTCCACGGCAGTCGCCAGCCCATGGTCAGTGTTGAGGGTGTTAGCGTCTACTCGTAGAAGTGTCACCTGTCGTCCACACACAAGTGACAGTAATATTCACTCGGGTAAAGGCAAATTATCACTAACCTGGATTACTCAAATATATGACAAGTTTATACATATTTCACATATAACCCGCACATAGGAGAAACAAACTTTGGACGACGTTTAGGCCCAGCTCCGGCCATTGACTAGTTACACTAACACACAAAGATGAGGGTTTGTTGATGTGACTAGTTAAATGATCCGAGTCGAACCGAAACGTCGTCATAAGTTTCTTTCTCCTAGGTGCGGGTTATTTGCGTATTGTTCCAGTCACGGAATTGTGACTGTTCTTTACACATATATAGGCAATAGATTTGCAAAAACGATATTTGTGCGAAAATAATGTGTGGTATAGACAGCTGAAAAAGCCCGAAGCCTTAGAACATTAGAACACATTTTGGCAGCAAATAAATGTAATGGGTTTAATACAGGACAATAAAATGAGAAACTGACCAACTTGGCCACACCATCATCTCTGATAAGGGCAGCACGGGCCGTCGAGAGTGCACACACCTGGGCCAGCACGGATGCTGCCAGACCCCGTACCTCCACCTGGCTGTGGCCTACCAGCCCTTGCAGTACCTGTACACAGGTACACGTATTCTAAGGTATAATGTGGAATGCAAAAATTACAGACAAACTGCATATAAGTTCATATGATTGACCTTACTAAGGCGAGACCACTACTACGATCACTAAGCCTTGATAAGTTATACACTTGTAGAAATAAAGATTATTATTATTATTATTATTATTATTATTATTATTATTATTATTATTATTATTATTATATGAGCGGAAAACTCTGCTAACCAGTGCTTTCATACTGCAAAATCCCATTGTAAATATTCACACTATGTGCTTTCTATATATAATATGCAAGCTTAAAAACACAAGAGAATATGAGAAGGTGCTTCTGGCTTACTGGCCCAAGATAGGTAAGTCCAACTCTTGCAAACATTCTCATTTCTGTATCTGTCCAAAGTCTGAAATATATTTGAAGGGTCCCAGAGTTACAAATAAATGACTAACTTCCCTAAGCCTTTACAGGATGCGAACCACTAGAATATAAAGCCAACATATGTTATATATCTGGGATAATATTAATAACTTTAGAAATTTAAATGGAAGGTAAAAAGTTATGTAAGAAGCAACTGGAATTAAACTGGCTTCGTAGCTTTTTAAATACAACTTTGATTTTAAAATTCTTAAGTCAGGATGGTATATTAAGGTTTTCATGGTAAAGGAGAACCATTTATTCTTTGTTAAATGTTTATTAGTCTTTTTTCGAATTGTAAAATGTATTTCTGGCTATGTTAAAAGATCTATCAATTAAGTTTTTGGGGAATTTTAGATCATTCCTATTTCATAAATCCTCAGAATTTCTTCATCTTTGAACTTTAGGCTGCAAATATGCAGAACTCTCAGAAATTTGGATGAGAATACAGAGAGTTTAACTCAGTCATGATGTGAAGAATAAAAGTGCATATAAGAACAGTAATTTGTCGGTTGTCTGTAAATTTTGAATTTTAATTCGTGGTTTCCTTAATAATTAAGACATCTAGAAAAGGCAATGAATTATTTTGCTCAAACTCAACAGTAAGCTTTATGGATGGAGCAAGACTGTCTAATTCAAGAAGGAAATGTTGTATATTCATCCAAGAATGTCTTGGTTCTCCAATACCATGAAAATCTTTTTGACATACCTTCTCCACTTAAGAATTTTACAATCAAAGTTGTATTTAAAAATTTTGATGAAAAAATATTGATTAAGAATTCCCCCCAAAATTCTGATGGCTATCTATACGATTCCCTGTATAAAAAAACACAATAAAATTTATTATAGTTACACTGGAAAAAGCCTTGAACTAAGATTACAACTACATAAACATAGCATTAAAACTGGACAAGTCTAATTCTCTGCTTACTCATGCGAGAGATTTTAACCATCCAAATGATTTCCAAAAACGCCGAGAAAGTTGTTTCAAGCAGGTCCATGGTTGAGAGAAATGTAATTGAATCCATTTTCATAAAAAAAATATTGATTTTAATATGAATATTAGTTCAGGGTTATATAAATTAGATTTATTTATAATTCATGGAATTTTGTGAGGAATTTTCACCACGCCTGACTTGTTAATACCATTTTCAATGAAAAATGCATCTAAAAGCCAATAAAAGAACCAAATTAAAAGAATTCATTTTTTAAGGCAGTTCCACCAAACTGACCAATTCGGCTTATTAAACAACATTTATATTATATTACATCAAGGGGACGTCATCAACCTTCATCACTGGAGGAAAAGTTGTAGCAACCCAGCCTACAGGACTCACTTGTAGGCCTCCAAGTTTGTAAACAGCAGCACGGGACGTCATGTGACCGCAGGCTGCCTCCAGCACCTGCAGTGCACCAACCTGTCAACCAAATAACATTTATATAAAATTCTCCGCTGTGTTATACTGGAAGTGAAAAATGATACTTGCAGGATGTGGAAAAACTCTTATGTACAGTTCAGAACATTGATTATAGGACGTAGCTTATTCAGTCCTAATGATTAGGACTGAAGAAGCCACTCGTGTTGAAACGTTTCGTGGCGAAACGTTTCCTCCTGAACTGTACATAAGTGTCTTTTTCCACATACACTGTAAGTGGCGATGATCAATATTTCCTGACCGGTCAGAGACGATCATGAGTCTTATAAGGAAACACTTGTTTTATCTAGGCTGGAATATTGCTGCATACTAACAGCACCTTTCAAGGCAGGTAAAACTGCTGACCTAGAAAATGTAGAGAACCTTCACGGCTCGCATAACGGAGATAAAATACCTAAATTACTGGGAGCGCTTGAGGTTCCTAAACCTGTATTCCCTGGAACGCAGGCGGGAGAGATACATGATTATATACACCTGGAAAATCCTAGAGGGACTAGTACCGAACTTGCACACGAAAATCACTCGCTACGAAAGCAAAAGACTTGGCAGACGATGCAACATCCCCCCAATGAAAAGCAGGGGTGTCACTAGCACGTTAAGAGACCATACAATAAGTGTCAGGGGCCCGAGACTGTTCAACTGCCTCCCAGCATACATAAGGGGGATTACCAACAGACCCCTGGCAGTCTTCAAGCTGGCACTGGACAAGCACCTAAAGTCGGTTCCTGACCAGCCGGGCTGTGGCTCGTACGTTGGTTTGCGTGCAGCCAGCAGTAACAGCCTGGTTGATCAGGCTCTGATCCACCAGGAGGCCTGGTCACAGACCGGGCCGCGGGGGCGTTAACCCCCGGAACTCTCTCCAGGTAAACTCCAGGTAAACTCCTGTAAGAGAGTCCATAACTGCCGAAGTTTGTAGAACATATGAATGGAAGAACACTGCGGCAGGCCTACTGGCTCATACAATGCAGGTCCTCAAAACCAACCATTCGCACCCACCCATATGTCCAGCCTTTTCCCAAAGCTGCCCAAGAATTCCCTTCAATAGATACTAGCAATGACCAGCTCCCATTTCTAGACACACTTCATTCATCCAAAGGTGATATTAATAAAGTACTGAGGATGTCGAACCAGGTAAGAACCAGAAATAACGGATTTAAGTTGGATAAATTTAGATTTAGAAAGGACATAGGTAAGTACTGGTTTTCGAACAGAGTTGTGGTTGCGTTGAACAATCTTCCAAGTAAGGTGATGGAGGCTAGGACCTTGGGTGGCTTAAAAAGAGACTGAACAGATAAATGAGTGGGAGGGGCTGGGTTTGATTGGTGTCGTGGGTACGGGAGTAAACTCTTGGGTATCTTTGGGTAGTGGTGGTTTCGATAAGGACTTGCCTTGTATGGGCCAGTAGGCCATCAGCAGTGCTCCTCCATTCTTATGTTCTTAGCCGAGTGTTCAGTGAACTGCCTTTACGATATTATACACTTTCGCCGCTGTTTTCAGAACCACAATAAAACTACGAGGAATACAATTAGAAGCCAAATCTTCACTGTGAATAAAAGAGGAATTCCAAGTAATACAGCTGTTACTTCTGATATCTTTCACCACTAATTTTTCCCAGTATCATATTTGCTGCGCCAGCACCTAAAATTACGTTGCAATTTGTTTTCAGCTGGACTTTTATGCAATACTTTATATATCTCTTACTCTGTTGTATTTGTCCTAATATTAGGCAATCTTGACCTCGCGACCGAGTACTGGGTATAGTGTTCTGAGAGCTGGGTCTCGACCCAGTACTGGCTATAGTGTACCGAGAATTGGGTCTCGACCCAGTACTGGGACGAGATAAATAGTGACCCAGTACTGGGAAGGGACCCAGTAATCAAGAGATCCAGCTCAGGTATAGAGGACTATACTCCTGATTCCTAACACTAATGTGTGAGTATCTTTTTTTTTTGAATTTTGAATTTACTCGAATAACTGCTATGACTATTAAAAATAATAAGAATTGTGTTGATTATTGTTAATATATTCATAAAGTATACCAAATTCGTGTGGATTTCGCATGAAGAAGAAAAGAAAAAGGTTTATGCAGAGAAAGACATGAAGTAGAAAGAAAAAAACAGAGATGAACCAGAGAGGAAAAATACCAAATACTAATTGAGTTACATAAAGAAATGGCAACTAAGGCAAACATATGTTGAGATAAATATGATAAGAAGATGTAGTTTAAGCTACTGAAAGAAGAGGAAGACAGAAAGGCATCCGAGTGACAATAACTGAGAGTGGGGAAAAAGAAATAATGCTACTGGTATATAGAAACAAAGGTGAGGAATCAGAAGGTTTTAACATATCAGAATAAGGAAGCTGAGGAACCCACTTGGATACACGAAACAAGATATAAAGGCAGCATTGGTTTAAATGAAATTACATTGGAAGAAAATATACTACAGAAAGGAGGCTTGCAAAAATATTTATAAATTAGGAAAAATGGGACATTCATCTCTAATTTTATACGTTGTCTTCGAAGCTTCAAGACAGTGAAAAACCAACACTTGCAGCTGTTTATAACTCACATTACAACGAAGATTACTGGTGCGGAGGATGTTGAGCAATACCTCCAGGCCTCCCACCACCTTCAGAGCCACCTGGCATACCTCCTGATGCAGGCCGCAGTCCTTGAGACCGACCAGAGCTATGGTGGTGCAAGTCGCGTTCCCCACCTTCAGATACTATGGCAAGAAAGAGGAACTCCTGAACATGAGGATGCAAGCTGTGTTGTATGTTGAAAATGGTATAAAATATCGACAAGTTATTGAGTAAGATATGTGTAACAGTTGGATATCTTTGTTGTTGAAACGTCTCGCCTACGTGGTAGGCTTCATCAGTCAAATACAGAGAATGTATTGAAGGCAGTAAAAGATGATGTAATCAGTCCATCAACCTTCTACAAAGGTTGTATAATTGTATTAAAGATGGGGGTTATAAAATAAGTTAAAGCTAGTGTTAAAGAGCTATATGATCTTATCAGTAATATATCTGAAGAGTATTTGTAATATTATTTGTACCTCAAATAGTTACAAATTTACCCTTTCCTGCTCTCTCTCTCTCTCTCTTACACGAGATTTTACAAGGCTAGGTTAACGTTCCTAATTTTATTTACAAACTAACAGCTGTTACCTACATCAGCTTATTTGAAAACCTTTTTATTGTTATAAAACACAAATTGGTAACAGGATGAAGTAGGAGCCATCTCTCTCTCTCTCTCTCTCTCACCTTTCAAATGGGATGCCTAGATGCTTCAAGGAATTGAGGCTACCCTCTCTTTCCTTGGATTAAATCTGATTACCTGCCACTTGCCCTGTGCTGTTATAATTCGTATGGCAAGATACATGTACAATACTTAGCTATCTTTATTTTTAAGTGTTGCACATATGTTTTACTTACCAGCTTGTCGGTATTGTATACCATTTTCATGTTCACATTCCCTATGGGTTTAACCCTTGACCATATATATAATAATTACAATAATCCACATTCTCCAGGTCATCACTAACCTTGACCATCTTCTGTATCTGCCAGTATTCTGAAGAGAGCTCTGCCGTTTGAAAATCCAGTTGGTACAGCTCCTCATCCTCATCCTCCTCATCCTCATCCTCCTCCTCATCCTCTGCCTCCTCCACCTGCTGTTCATCATCCGAGTTCTCCAGCTACGGGATGAGTTTTATCTAAACAAGAACCTTTACTTATTCGCTTTTTGGAGGGGAAAATCTTTTGGTGTTTTGGGTGAGGTCTAACTAACGTCACTGAAAAACATGATGTTATTGATTTGGATGAAAATTGGTGGGCATAGTTCAATAACAGATGAGTAAGACACATTTGCAACAGTAGGCCTCTTCAGTTGAATACGGAAGTGACTGAATATAGAGAAATCGGATGCCTGACGGGGAAAAGATAATGTATATATGCTCACTTATCTACTAATAGACATTATATACCACTGTTAGAAGGAAACTAGGACAGTGACAAGGAGTGTTTGATAGGGTTGAATAAAAAATTATTCGAAACAAAAATATATGGTATGAAAACAATGGTAAGTGTTGAGAGGAATGCTACACAGCTTGTGATATGCTGGAGGTGCATGGAAAGAGTAATCTTAAACTGAATAATAATAAGTCTGAATATATTTAAGAAATGTATGTAAGAAACACACTTTATCTCTGTGAGCCACTTGTGGACGTCTGAAGAAGAGGGTGGAGAGAGATTTAGCTTCTTTATGACTTTGATGATTTGAACCATGGTTTCTGGGATGATGGGGCCGTTCGTATAATTTCCTTATTTCTGAACAATATAGTTATTTAAGTTATATGTAACTTAAATAACTATATTGCATTGAACAATCAAAGTCAAAACTGTGAATCATGTAAGGAAGCTGTGCTAGTTTAAGGAGGATGTATGTAACCTATTCTTTCACCAGTCAAGAATAGAGTGGAACCTCGGTGTTCGAACTTACTGGACCTCGAACAAATCGAAGTCCCAAGAATTTTGATCAGAAGAAATTGACCCGGTCTTTGAACGTTTTTCTGGAGTCCGAACACGCTGACTTGTTTACAATTCAGTTGTAAAAAAACTTTACGGAAAAGCCCTGTTTCAAAGGTGCTTTGCAGTGACTTCTGACAGTGACCTAACTCTCAGAAACTTTTGGAAGAGTCGGTTCAACATCCTCCAGTGTTTGAGGCTGATAATTAAAGTCTGGGAAATACTCTTACGAATATCGAACTTTTCTCAGTTCAACTACC